CAAATCAAATCAAATCAAATCAAACTTCACTTAAACCATTATGCACATTACAGAAAAGAGCTATTTGTTTAGTTCACAAGGTGGATTTTTATTGTCGTACCCACAATTTGTTAATAGATTCTTATTTACTGAAACTCACTGATTTGGTCGAATTTCAAACTGCACAATTTATGTATAAAGTCAGAAACAAATTATTACCAGAAAATATTCAAAAATTATTTTCTGAGAGAGTGGGTGGATACGATTATAGAGAAAACCTCAACGTTAGAACTTTGAAGGCTAAAACAACAAGGAAAAGAATGTGCATTTCTGTCGTTGGTGTGAAGATCTGGAACAAACTCGTTAAAAAGCAGAAGCAAAGTACAACCATGAGGTATTTTAAGAAAGAACTCAAAATGGTTATTATTCAAAAGTATAAGGATGAACAAAGGGGATGAAACTGGTTAGGAAGTACAGCCTTGTGGATGATCTCAAAATTGGGTGCAGGTTTGTGCATGTGTGTGTAACTAAATACAGGTGTGTAAAGTGGTGTGTGTTATTTAGATTTATGTGCAGATAGATGAGTATGCATTTATAGGTGTGTATGTATTACTTTCATCTGGTTTAGGAAAATATTATTATAGTCATTATTATTTCATTTTTTGTCAGGAAGGATATTGGAAATTGGAAGACAATGTGATGAATCAGAAATGGAAAAGGGGGATGATTATATAAGTTATACTTCATCATACTCCTTTTCAGTCTCATAATCACTGAATAAGTGGTGTTATTAGAGAAGAACCCGTCCAGAAGACCTATACATTTTTTTTCTTTTTAATTTTTTATCTGGATTACTTAGATGCATCAGGACAATAATTGGTGTGTTTTCATGTAATTGATTATGTACATCATAGTAAGGTATGCTGTTTTATTTATTTTTTGGCACTTGACGGTGAAATGTTTTGTCTGAAATAAATTATTATCATCATCATCATTATCATCATCAAAAAAATACTTGGTGAAATGACAAATCCTCAAAAAAATGGACTTACGTACTGTAACAAAGTGAAGAAATTTATAGTTATTAGAGGTTAGTACTGATGTTAAAAGCACAACACTATAGTTTTAGGTTTTCCTTTTTATAACGTTGACAATGTTTAATCTATTATGTTTTGATTGAAATAGGTTCAGTTACATGTCCGAATGATATGACAACACATACTGTATTTAACCGTTATGAGAACATTAGTTGATAATTTTGTCTGAATGCCTGTGATTCTGCCGTAGGTCAGCAGGGGGCGAATGCAGGCACTGAAGAACCATGTATAAATTGATGAACTTCCTGGTTTTTTGCCAGTGTGGTTTCCTGTTAGCTCCGGTGACGTTAAAGCTCACTCAGTTCCAGAATTCTGGTGTTGTATGGTTTGATTCCTTCTACAAATCATTTTATTTAACAATGGTGGTTTTAATATTGACTTCAGTCTATTGAATACGTATTTTTCTTACAAAAGTAAATGTACTTACTGGTATTACTATACACCTCTGCTGTTAACAGACAACTCGCACAAACAAGCACACATGGACAGGACTATAACTTTAAACCATTACTTGTCCAAATGTCCAAACTGGACTGGCTCATGTTGTCCACATCAGTGGGATCCTCGGCTCCAGTCTGTGTTTGAGAAAACAGCAGGTTAACGTGTAACTTGTCCTCTTGGCTGCTAAGTTTTCAGAGTTACTCAGTGTTCAATGATCTGAACTTATTGTGAGACACAAAGTGTCCCACACTAACTTACTGCACCGACATGGTGGGACGAAGGCCTGAAATGGAGAACAACAGCGATGCCCCTCGCGCTGGTCTGCTGGACGGCGAGAAGACGGCAGTGGCCCTGCTGCTGTCAGGGGTCCTCCTCGTCATGCTGGGGGTCACCTTCACTGCCATGGGCTGGCACTACTACAGAACCAACATCAGCTTCCAGTGGACTCAGCTGCTGGGCCCCATCCTGATCTCAGTCGGTGGGACCTTCATGCTCACCAGCATCTGCAAGTTTCGGTTGATCCTCTGTTGCAGGCAGCAGGACGAGGAGGTTTTCGTCATACCTGTGAGGGAGCAAACCTCCAGAGGACATCCTGTCGTGGTTCACGGCATTAATCCACCTGTCATGCTGCAGGGAGCCACAGCCATGCTCTGCATCCCACCTGCTTATGGCTTCATCACCCAGGAGGTACACCCACAGAACGAGCTCCATCCTGGGCTCCCTCCGTACGACGGTGGACACGGAGCGGACCACGGTACAGGAGACAGCAGAGGTCACAGCTCACAGGCAGACCAGAGAAGAAGCCGGTGAGAAGTTTCTTTATGATAAACAATCTTCTAACAAAAAAGAATTAAAACACTTGAGAAATACAAAGGTTGGACTGTTTGGTTTAATTCTTGAAAACACTTTTATACTTGTGAATCCTTTAGTACTCTGAGTTGAGTTGGTAACATGTATCATTTATAACTAGAAGCACTGGGAGAGTGCAAACCTCCACCAAGACCAATTTCCCCCATCCTGTAAGAATTAATGCACAAAAGCAGAGATGGAAACACATTTACTGAATAAGTTCTGACGTAGTGAACATTTAAGCAGCAGTATGATGGGATTTCTTCTCTGTGGAGTCCAATGTGAAAAAAACAACAAAAGTCAGACTGGTCACCCAACGTTATTCATGGTCAAACTGGTGTGGGATTAAGCTCCTAAGTTTCCATCAGTCACCT